ATTTGTTACAATATATTGCGTCTCTTATATTTGTTAATTAGTTAAGCCATCAATAATAATTGTTTGTTTTCAATTATTGGTCTTATTATTGGATAATCGAGTGAAACGCCATTTGATATTTATATACTTTATGAATATTTATTAAAAAAACAAAACAATTTTATCATGATTATTATTAAATAGAAAAATATAAATGACTATGAGTAAAAGCTCTCATTCCAATCTCTAGTTATTCTTTTCAAATCTATGTCAGTAATATTGTATCATTATGATAATATGAAAAGTTATCTTTCGTTGAAATATCCTTGAAAGAGTTTGAAGTAAAAAGAATAACAGATGAATTCTATACTGAATTAATATTGAGAAAGCAAAAGCTATTATTTCTTTAAAATGGATTTTGTTGAATGGTTTATAAGTTTGTTTAATATACTCATGTTTAGTACTTGAAAAATGTTTCGAACTTGATTCATTATTTTTACTAAGTACTACTAAACATTTAGATTTAGGTATTAAATTTAAAATAGCCTAACTTCTCCAATTGGTTGATAAAAGAAACAAAACATACAATACACTATAGTGTGTATTGAAAAATATTGATAATTTTTGAATAGATACAATCACGTGCATAATTTGACAGATTACGTGTGTGTACGTTAATTTTGTCAAAGAAGTAAAAAAAAAAAAACTAAAGAGAAATAACTCCTGAGTCGTTTTTATTCTATTTTATTTTTCGTTAAAACTGAAAGAAGAAGAAAAAAACGAAAATGAAGAAAGAAAATTTGTTTTTTTTGCTCAAAAAGATACTTTTAAAAGTTTACAAGAAAAACACGTATTACGATTAGAAGTTGATTATGAACTGTGTGAATAAAAACAAGGAGAAAAAATAGAGACCAAGGCTGCATATATTAGTTCACTACTTTCAAATAAAACATAATAATTGTTGTTCATGGCTTCTTATTCTATATATTATGTTTTCCGTTGAGTTTTTATTTTCATTTTTTTTTTTTTTATCAGAATACAAAAATATTTTACCTATCAAAAAAACTGTTAAAAAGTTTTTTTCTTCTTCTTTACTATATTAAATATTTCGTTTGATTGCAACCTATCATTATGAGAAAAAAATAAGTGATTAGTTGTCAAATTCCTTTTTTTTCTTTTTTTTAAATATTTTTTTTGTTTTTCTCTTCTGTCTTATAATTTCTTCCCATATACAATTTACATACCTGTCATAGTAATTTTATACATAGTTACTTTTTTTATTAACTTCTCTCTCATTCTCTTCATCCTTCTCTTGAAGTATTAATTAAACTCTTCTTTTCCTTCATTTTTATTTATGTACAAACTTATACTATAAATATTTATGTATTTAATAACGTGTAACGTTATTAACAATTACAGTTATCGTCATGCCATTATTAAGAATATTTGAGATAATTGAATATTATTTTAACGTAATTTCTAACAATAGTATTAACAATAGATATAATAACAAACATAAAGTTAAAAAAGATAAATGTTATACATGTGACGAATGTAATAAAAAAAAACGGAAAAATTCGAATATCAATAACAACAACAACAACAACAGTAGCAGAGGATCATCGAGAACAGAACAACAACTATTTTTTCAAAACGATGATAATAATCGTTCGAACGTAAGTTAATATATACGATTTAATTAACTTCAAATATCGTATTACATTAACTCGATAAACATTTTTGAATGTATCGGTGAGGACATATCGAAAATAAAAGGTTTGTTTTTGTACCGAAATGAACTTGAATTTTATGCAATACTCGATATAAATGTTATATAAACAGGATTTTTTTCTAAATGAGATAGGTGTATTTCAATTGTTTTTAGAATCACTTGTGTTTTCTCGACATTTTACACTTAAATCTATCAAGTTTGAGAGTTCTGGATATAGAAAACTAGAAACTTGGAAGATATATATTCCTAGAGTAACCAGTGCTTCATAACAAATGAATCTCTCGCTATTTTGTGAAAACTTTCAGGGCTTTCTTTCGTCAGAAGGAAGTTATAAGTTTAAAAAGGTTTTGGGGGCAAAATGGCTTGTTTTTGCACTGTCTGTTATTCCTCCCCTCTCTTAAGAGCGGGCGGACGTAAAGGACACGTGATTGTCTTGTGATTTGTAACCTACTGTTTTGTCCTCTTCTTTCGTTAGTGCCAGCCGCAGCATCTAACATATCAACATAACGTTCCTGGAAAGTGAGGACGGATCAAGGGGGAAACTGCGGACTTTATAGACTTGAGCGGACTTTAAAGTCCTCTCAGATCTTTTAAAGTCCACAAAAGTCCGCCAACTTGAGCGGACTTTGGTGACTTTAAAGTCCGGTAAAGTTCAGTAAAGTCTCCGTAAGTCCCGTCAAGTCCTCCCAAGTCCGCTCAGATCTTTTAAAGTTCCCAAAGTCCGCCGACCTGAACGGACTTTCGAGACTTTAAAGTACGGTAAAGTCTCCGTAAGTCCGGGCAAGTCCTCCCAAGTCTACTCAAGTCTAAAGTCCGCAGTTTCCCCCTTGGGACGAATCCAGGAAGAAAGTTTTCACATTCTGGCGTCCTAAATCAACGCTGACAAACTTTTTTATATAGATGTTGAATATTTTCTGTCTCCAATTTGACTCTTTGAATGAGAAAATTGCGCCTTAAATTTCAACACAATAAATGTGTTAAGTGACCTAGTAATGTAAAAGCGAAGAGCTGTATGAAAAAAATAATGAAAGATTTCGAGATAAGCACCTTTCCAATCACAGAAACAGAATTTTCGATTTTATTCCTTGATCTGTTGCAATATAGAAAAATTCAGTTAGCCATTTTGTAGCCGTTGAAATATTTTATCTTCTAATCAGAGTTTGAATTTTCTCATCATACAAATAAATTGACAAAAACATTTTTCTTTGTCTTCATTTCGCCGATTTATTGAGGTTCTCACTATATAGAGCAAAAAATTATCGTGATTCGTTCAAAATCAAGCACTTTAGACTTGACTTTTTATTTTTTTTTAAAGAAAAGTGACTATCTATTATATCCAGATGTGAAAAGTTCAAGGATTTTATATGGAAAAATTTTATGTAAGGCTTGTCTAAACTAAACGAGGTGCTGCAAAAACAATTTTAATTTCATATTTTAATGTGTTTAGACAAAAATCGTTTCGAAACGCCAACTAGCAACTAGCATTTCAACATCTTCAGTAAAAAAAGAAGATGAACAAAAATATGTTAGTTTAGTTTTCAGCTTTATGAAAAAATGCCTCTTTTTCCTCCGTTTTCAATAGCATTCCATACAAGTGAAAAGAGCACACTATAAAATATCAGAAGATCTATCCTGATGTCACTTCATCATCTCATCACTATTTGCAAATAAGTTTAAATTCGCTTAAAACTTAACTGTTCTGGAACTTCTTACTCTTTTTCGTATAATTTGTCACTTTCATGTTTAATAATAGAATATTCAACACATTTATTGTGTTGAAATTGAAGACACAGTTTATTGTGCTAAGAGTCAAATTGAAGACAGAAAATATTCAACAACTGTATAAAAAATAGCGAAAGGCTCATTTATTATGAAGCAGTCGTTATAGAGTAGCGTAGTCAAAAACATGGTCAAATATTGACTGGTATTATTTGTCTCATATTACTACGGTAAAAAACTTTCAGACATTGACAAAATGCAGGTATTTAATTGTATCTATATCGAACGGGTTCGTTTAAGCCAAAAAAAAAAGAATACTATGCTGAGGTTATATGATGGTGAAACATATTGATAAAATAAAATGTTGTCAGCATATGAGTTCGATAATCCATTTCTATTAATTGTAAGATCAAAATCGTTTGTTTTTTTTTCAAACAAAAATTGAGGATAATTTAATGAGGTGAGAAGAGGAGAATGTCACAAATACCATTATATTTTATGAATTAGATAATACTTATATATACGAAATATAATCTCTTTTAAAAACAGTTTTTAAATTTTAATCGAACTAAAAGAGGAAAAACAAAACACATAATAGTTGCCCACATTTCATCCTATTTGAATATTATATAAAAAAATGTATTACTAATACAATTTGATCAGTTGATATTAAATATGGACATATTTTTAACTATAAGTACAAAAAAAAATAGATGTTTTTTGTACTGCCCTGCATGTTGTCCACTTTTCTTTCTTTTCTTTATTTTTTTTTAATATATTTTTTATGAATAAGAAACAACAATATGCTGTTAAAAGTGTTAAAGATTGAATTTCAACAGAGATATTTTTTAAATGAGTGGAAATAAAAAATATACAAATCTGATATTGAATAATATTATAAAAAAAAAAAATCCATTTACTTTTTCAGTTATTTTTTGAATGTGTCATGTCATACACAACAGGAGGGTAAGTGACAATTTTGTCTGAGAAATTTTTCTAAAAATAATTATTGACTTAAAAATTATTTTAATAATTGGATAGAAAAAATCAACCTGTAGAGATTTTATTATTACATTTTCTATAGTTTTTTTGTAATTGTCAAACAATAGTGAAGAAGAAAAAACATTATAAAAAAAATTTTTTTCTCCACCTTAATCACTATACATACACACACACACACACACACACACACATTAGCTCACTAAATAAAAGAATCTCAATGAAAGCCGATTATGTTAAAAGTAAGAATTATTGTGATGTAAGAGAGAGAAAACAGATTGAACACATTAACAAAAGAATAAAAGAAAGACTATTTCTTTTCTTTTTATGTCAATAAGTTTATTGTGACACTTTTAAGTGCCACTCAAATAATAGTCAAGTATGACATGAAATGGATTAAAAGAACACGTATCCGGATAGAGAAAATGAATTGTTTGACTTCCTTAATAAAAAATAACATTGACCTCTATCTAAACCTTAAAGGGCAAAAAAAAAAGAAAGAAAAAGAATTAAATCATCTTATACAATGAATGAGAGATTATGAATTATCAAACTCTAAATTCTAATATAAATGTGGGTATGGAAATTTATTAAATATCTAGATCAAAAAAACAACAACAAATATTGATTAATTTTCATTTATTTAGGACAATACCTATTCAATAGCTCCAAACTTATATTCTTCATTACCATTAACACCACCTATTAGCCGTCCTAGTCGAAAAAATCGAAACCATCATCGTGGTCCATCGTGGTGGTTATCATTAATTTTATTATTAATATCAACTGTAGCTGGATTTCAAATTGGACTTGTTCTATTATGTAATGTTAAACGATGTGTTACCGGTGTATTAGATCAAAATATTCGTACAAAAAATACATCTCAATCAGTCAATGTTTATCGTGTACCAAACAAAAAACAATTAATTCTTATTGCTATAATGACAAGCAAAGATTTTTTAAATACACGTGTACCAACTGTAGTACGTACATGGGCAGAAAATGTACCGGGACAAGTTATTTTTTTCTCTAGTGAAGGTTCAACAACAAATGATTCACATATTAATCTTGTTTCATTACCATCTGTTACCGATACTTATCCACCACAAAAAAAATCATTTTTAATGATGAAATATATTTATGATCATTATTTACATAAATTTGAATGGTTTATGCGTGTTGATGATGATGTTTATATTCGAACAGATAATCTAGAAAAATTATTACGTTCAATAGATAATCGTATGTTCATATTTTGTTTTTATTAATATTATCTCACTGAAGAGTTTAAAATAGAATAATTTATAAATTATTTTAAAATTTATTTTCTTTTTCACTATTGAATAGGTGAGAAAAAAAACAAAGAGTTTATAAATGTATTTCTAAATTAAAATATTTAGAAATAATTTATAACTATTTATTAAAAAAACTATTTTGACGTTTTTAGAAATTTTCTTTTTAAACTCTTCAATGATATTACCCCATTATTGAAAAAGCATCACCTAATACATTCTGTTCATCAATTTCACTGTTCAATGCTTCTAGATGTCGACAAGAAATTTTTTTTTCTCGATATGTAACTAGATAACATTGTCCATGAATTGATATTTATATTAGGTTAAATTTTATGCATATAAATGTGTTGAACTATATACACGTCAAGCAACCCTAGTGAATGTACTTGTACGTGGCTACTTGTTTACTTGCAAATTTTCATGGGTACTTGACAATCACTTGACAAGTATTTTCAAAACATAATACTTGATAAATGCCTGAAAACACTTGCCATGCCAAGTACTTGATCTACTTGTTGAACCTTCTTCGGGTACTTGGGGTCACTTGGGCAAGTGTAAGACTTCACAAGAAGATAAAGTAATTCAAGTACTTGGTTTAATTGCAAAAAAGCTCAAGAACGTTGGACAAAACTTGCGGGGGTACTTGACCAAGTACCTGCATGCAAGTACAGCCACTAGGGAGTCCAATTCGATAACTCGATGCTTCAGAACATCTAGAATAAAATAGTAAAAAAATAGCGATCATTATTAGAACTGGTACGTTCCTGTTATTTTACTCTGAAAAGTTATGGTTTTCCGCGTTACTAGTTACTAGCACCGGTAACTAAAATCTGTTACTCTGACTTTTAAAGTAAAGCTCTTTTTGTTGTTTCGAAACCCCTTATTTATTTTGTTAACTTATTGTGTCTAACCGGTGACCGGTGAAAAACATTTTTTTTGCGACATTTCATGTTTCTATCGTGAAAACTGTGTCAAATGTAAGATTCAATTGAGGTGAAATAGCAGTAGTCGCTGAAAACAGAACTAGAACAATTTCAGAAAAACTGTAACTCTATAAACTTCATGTACTATTGCGCTGAATAATCCTCACGTTGATTTAAGAAAAAAATAAGCAGTAAATGATTAAAATGAAACATTTACTTCCAGAAGAAGTTCTGAAATTTTTTGCTAAGGATGCTCTCTATAGACATTTGCTAACATTTGCTAAGAAATGACAAGATAGAAAATAGTATTTATTTGATACGGCTTGATATTAAAAAGAGAGAAAGTTATACGATATTTGAGCTTTAAAACACACATACTTGAACTGAAATCCCACGTTTCATGTGATTAACACGAGTTCTGTATATTAGAGATCTACTTGTACTACCGAACTACCAAAAATCTATCCGTTAATTCAAGGTTACTTGAATTTTAAAGGGCTAACAAATGAATTAACGGGTTATTTCAACCAAAAAAATTAATTTACCCGTTACTTTTTCAGAAAAACACGAGTAACAGATTTCCCTTACCATTACTGGTAACAGGTAACGGATTTTCGTCACCCGTTACAGTAGCGATAAAGAGAAAGTGCCACTCCTAATCGATATACAAAACTAAAGTATCTAGATCGCATCGTCATGTTTTTTAAGGTAAACCCTATTATATTGGACAACCGGGTATGGGTACAAAAGATGAATATGGTAAATTAGCATTAGAAGAAAATGAAAATTTTTGTATGGGTGGTCCCGGTATCATTATGTCTCGTGAAACATTATCACGTTTTATTCCCCATATTAAAAAATGTTTAAAAAACTTTTATACCTATCATGAAGATGTTGAATTAGGTCGATGTGTTCATCAATATGCAAATACATCGTGTACATGGTCATATGAAATGCAACATATTTTATATAATCATCCAAATAAAACCGAAGGATATAAACAAACAAATTTAGTAAATACTGATATTTTACGAGCCGTTTCATTACATTCAATTAAAGATACAAAAATATTTACACGTGTTCATAATTTTGCCATACAACGACGTATTATGGATTTAGAACAACGTCATATGATATTAAAACGAGAAATTCAATCGTATGATCTTATTCTTGATATACAACAAGCTATTAAAATACAACAAAAAAATTTTACACAATTAATACATAAAACAAAAAATGCTCAACATCGATTAAAATTACAACAACAATATAAATTATTAAAACAACATGATTTACATATTGCTGAACAATTAACTGCTATTAATAATAATACCTATCGTCTATTTATAAATTCAAATAATGAACATTATAAAGGTAAAATGAATAAATATAAATTTTTAATTAAAAATATATTTTATTATTTTATTTTTATCTTTTAGATAAACATCCATGGAATGTATTTTTAAATTATTATCAAGAAAAATTTTCCTCATCCTCTTCTGCTAAATCATCATCATTATCAGCTCAAATTAATTTAGAAATACCATCTCTATTATCTCAAATAACAAATAATCATAATAATCATAGGACTACAAAAACGTTAAATAATAATTACAATAAATTTTTACGTCAAAAAAATGATTATCGTTTATGGAATATATTTACGGCTAGTCAATATTCTGCTACAAATGAATTACCTGTACGTTCTATAGAGCCAGCGTTTAAACAATGTTTTGATGAAGTTGTTCGAACATATATGGAAGATGTTAATAAAGTATCAAGACGTATGGGTCGATTTTTAGAATATAAAAAAACATTGTATGGTTATTATAATTATGAACCAAAACATGGTATTAATTATATTTTAGATTTGTTTTTAATCTATCGAAAATATACTGGAAAAAAAATGTCGGTAAGTATTAAATAATTTTTGGATATTCAATTTGAATACAATGGAAAAATAACTGAAATAAGAGTTAGATCTTTGTCTTTGTATATCCCATGTACAAAAGAGTTAAGCTCTTTTTTTTGTGTTTGTTTAAATGAGCAAAGTTCAAACGATACAAAAGTTGGTGAAAAAATAATGAATGATGGTAGTATGATACTGGACAAAATTTTAGATTGTAATTAATTTTGAGTGTAGGAAAATTCAAATCGCAGGTCATGTTAGAAGCTGACTAGCTGCAGAGAACATAGTAAAAAATAATATGTTGCAGACTCTGGAAGCAAAATGTGTCGCAAACGAATATGTTGCAGTCGACGTGTCGTACTTATTAAGATTCTAAATATGTAGTTTTAGCACAGATGTTAGATCCTAGGAAGGAAACCACATCGCTCCTGCCTCTGTTTTAGTGTGCTTTAGCATTCTTTGTTTGATATTTCTTTGCCATCTCTTGATCTTGGACCAGCGGTAGATGTCACTAATAAAAGAAAAAATGTAACTGATTTCTTTGATTTGGCGGTTTTCTACTACTTGAAACTTTCCTTTGAGGCAAATTAATAGCTATATAAAACAAAAAAACACAAAAATCGGCAAAAATAACAATGAATTAATGTTGAATAAATTAACTCTTTTAGAATGTATGGTGATCGGCAGGAGCTGGGACTTGATGCTCTAGAATTTGGGTTGTCAAAACTCTTACTTTTACGAAAATCCTAATTAATTCTTCTCTCTACTTCTCATGATAGAAGATATTTGTAACTTCCAATTTTTTCTAACTACTATCGATAGTTGGCGAGTTTAGAGGAAACAAAATCAGCTCTTTAACGAATTAGAAATATCAAGACATAGAACTGAACATTATTTCGATTACTTTAATATTTTTTATTAATAAAGTGTATTATCTATATATCTTTTTAGGTACCTGTGCGAAAACGTGTGTATGTTGTTCAAAAATTTCGTCCATATTATTTTCGTGAATTATTTTCAGTAGTTCCCACCTCTTCTAGTGCAATACGTGTTAGTAGTAGTAGTAATAGTAGCATTTTGTCTTCGTTGTCGTGGTCATCTAGCAATAATCAACAGAAGACCCCGGTGAAATATTTAAATATGATTGTACCCGTATCAGGACGTTTAAATACATTAAAACGTTTAATGAATAATTTTGATTCTGTTGTATTAAATAATTCAAATTTAAATTATGTTTTACTTAATATTGTATTAATGGAAACAACAGAAGATAATAGTGAAAAGATGTCAACTTTATTTGATTACATACAAAATTTTATTCATAAACGACCGATAATAACTATGACAGATCGTGCACGTATAAACGTGTTCAAAGCTGATAATGAAAATTTTACGCGTGGTTATGCACGTTCTTATGGTGCATCTAAATTTAATGATACTGATTTACTATTTTTCATGGATTTAGATATGATATTTACAAAAGAACTCTTTCCACGAATATTACATTATACAATTTTTAATAAACAAGTGTATTTTCCCATTATTTTTAGTCAATATGATCCACAGTATTGGAATACCCTAAAATCCGAAAATAATTCATTTTCATTATTACGTGATAGTGTTGGCTATTGGCGGCAATATGGTTTTGGTATGTTGGGCATTTATAAAGGCGATTTAAAATATGCTGGCGATTGGAATCAAGAAATTAGTGGCTGGGGCAAAGAAGATGTTGAAATTTATGATAAATTGGTACAATCAAATTTAACTGTATTTAGGAGTGTTGATAATTCGTTGATACATGTATTTCATGCAAAAGAATGTAATTCTATTTTGAGGGATGATCAAATGAGAATGTGTAAAGGGACGAGATCGATAACACTTGGATCTCAAAAAACGCTCGTAACGCAAGTGCAAAAATTAATCGAGCAAAATAAAATTTAGAGTAAAAAAATAGTATAATATGTAAAACAGGGCGAGAGTGGGATGGAGAACGATCACGCAAAAAATAACATTTTAAAAGGTCCAATTCCAAAAAGAAGCCACTAGATTACAACATACTCCATTTATCCTCTGATAAAATTTTCAGTATGAATCAATTGCTCTAGACAAAATCATACGCATTTCCTGTCCATTTCCTACTAGGATCCTACAGGATCCTAACATTTAAGACTCACCTAATAACTTCCTAGCAGGATCCTAAAACGCTAGGATTCTACTACAATTTCGCTTAAGTTTGTTTAGGATCCTAACAGAATCTTAGAAAGTCCTATGACTTTCGGGTATACCTGATTTCATTAGGATTCTGTAGGATTTTGTTAGCATCATAAGAAATTAAACCGAAATCCTAGTAGGATATTGGAAGAATATGTCTCGATAAATATTTATTAGTATCGATAAATTTACGCGATACTAGAAACGAATGCTTCATTCTCATATCATCAATGATGAGAATGAACGTAATCACGAACGTAATGATCACGATTCGCACATACGGATAAAATGAAGAAATAATTGATCTCATCCAAAGCTGCAGGAATCGGAACTATTGGATAACTTTCCTTGGTAATTTATGAATGTCAGTAAGACATTAATTGTAAAATTGCTCAAAGTTAACGATATCACTTCACTCTCCACTCTTTAATCACTAATTGAGCTGAATTCAATGTCGAACGGTTCCAGAGATACAAGCCTTCTGATGTCGGTAGAAAAACTCGGGCCTAATGTTTGAACTTTTTTCTGCATCATTGCTGCTTTTAAATTTTTAATCTTCTTTGAACTAAACTAAAAGATGACTCAAAACGCGTACGTCAATTTCAATTCAATTCAATTCGATTTCAATTTTATTTTAGTCCATGATGTTAATAAAATGACAGGGTAATGACAAAAGTTCAATAAAGAACTTGCCTAGGTCATCCCCAGTAAAAAAAAAGAGATAGAAAACAAAAAAAGTTTGAACAATAGAAAAAACGGTACGTCGTACAAACAACAGAGATAACATTTTTTATTTGGTAAAAGATCGAAAGTGCGCTTTTCCAAATTCAAATAGTGTCAGATATACGTTGGACTATGGGCTATCTAATGTATAAAAGATTTTGCTCCAAGTGCTGAATTTTCGGGAAAAAAATATATACAAAACAGAGCCTGTATAGTAACAACAAAAATATCTTGATGCAAAAGTTTTGATCTTCTTCAAAAGAGCTGTTTGCTAGGTTTTGTTTGATGGAAAGGAAAGCGTTTGAACGACAACATAAGACGTTCTGCAATTCTATAGTTTACTCAGATAAATGGCTATATGACTTTCACAAAATGAGTGACTTATACAGAGTGGGCATTTTTCGAATAGCAGGCGGACATCAGAATATTTTGCTCACAAATTATTTTTTCATCAATAATTATCATTGCTTAGTCATCTATGATGCTTTTAAAGAAAAAATAAACGTTTTCAGTAAAAATCATTTTTTTGAAAAATAGATCTTGCTGGTCCATGGAAGATTTCGATGGATATTTTTTCGATTCAAAACCTATCCTGTTACACATGATTCGATGTAACTCGACGGCTGCTTCCGAATATTCGGAATTATATTCTGGACGTTTAGTAACACTACCCCTGATCACCATTAATAATATGAGAATGAAGCATTCGTTTCTAGTATCGCAGGTAAAAAAAAAAAGATGATTGACTGGCGTCCGGACTAATCCGAAAGTGAGACTTTTCCCTCACCTTTTTCAGCCTCAGACGTCTCTTTCGAGTCCTCGTCGGGACGCTAGGCTTAAAGATGAAAGGGACCAAAAATGGCAAGTGATGCATGTTCTGACCGTCGTCAGGACTTAAAACATGACGGCTCTACCAGACCTATTCTCGGGACTAGAGTTAGGATACCATCTTCTATACTACAGGGACTAACACCGTCTGACTTTGAGGTCTGATGAGTATCGTGATTACTGTCAGGACACTATCCATTGTCTCATTCAGGTTCTATGAAATCGTCTGCTTGGTTAGAAGAATATTACACAATGTCATGGACATTTGACGAATATTCAGAATTATATTCTGGACGTTTAGTAACACTACCTCTGATGTGCAATTGTAAAAATAATTTAAAAATATATGTTTCTAAACATTCACTTGATCGAATGATTCATTTTGGCTATTACTCAGTCCAACATCCTTCGAAATTAGAGAATTTTACTATATAGCGTGGACGTCCAAAAAAGCACGTCTTGCATTACAAAACTGAGTTTTAGAAAATATTTTGCTGTTATAACAATAACATGACATATGGTAATAAATACTTGTCCATCTTACAAGGGTTTTTTTGTGAATGTGAGAGAGCAGTAGAACAATAGATTAGACGATGTCTTCGAAATAAAGCTAGCTTGCCGTCGATCAAGAACTTTTTACTGAAGAAAAAATATGTCAAAAATCTTCTTATGAGTTGCATAATTGTGACATTTATTTGACTCCTGAGAGCCTTTCTTCGCTGATATGATTAAATTTAAAGATCATCAAGCTGGATTTATTCGAAAAAATTAATAATTTTTTTTTATATGATGATCAGATATTTTTGAGAGATGTTTAGTCATAAGGGCACAAAAATTTAAACAAAATTTACCAATTTTAATTTTGAAAAAGAGAAAATGCATAAGTTCCAACTTATCTAAGTTTTAACCATGTTCTTATTTGTACTGTACCAAACTTCCGTTCTGGTCCGATTCCAAAAATTGAGATCGGAATCCGATGTGGACGGTGAGTTTCTCGGACCAAGACCAGTTTAGATCGTTTTTAATATACATTTTCTACTGTTTTTTAACTAAATCTTAAATATTTAAAAACAATAACTTCTAATCAGAACGAGTTTAGACTACAAGAGCCCGATATGAAACGGATTACAATTGAACTTGGTCTCGGATCGTATCATATATAGCTTTGTTCTGTACGCATCGTTAATAGTATGTTGAGATCCATAAATAGCGCATGTATAACATTTAAATTCTTGTCACATCACGTCTCGCATCACGTTGAAGAATTATATCGCTGTCATACTGTGAGAAAAAAGGAACATGATATCGTGCAAATCAGTAATTGTTGATATTACTTGTTTCCCAAGATTATTATCCATTGTCTTATATATATTCATTTTTTCTATACGATAAACACACTTGATTTTTCTCTGTTTGTCACACAATGCTTTTTTTTTTCTTCGTCTTTCGTTTATTATTCTAACTATTATGTATGCTAATCATAAAATCAAATTTCGAATTTAGTCTTTTTTTTCTATTATTATTATTGTTATTATTATTATTATTTTCATAGGAATAAAGACTATATTTCTCAATGTGTAACGTCTATAACTATTCGATTGTAGTTTTCCAAAGAAAAACAGAAAACTCTCGACCTTATAGTTCTCGTATCACAAGCACCGGGATAAAGAGGAGATTGAATAGAGAATCGAATATTAAGTTAACGAGACATGTTCATATATCTGCTGTTGTATGTCTTCATTATCTCAATGACGATTATCGGTTCTTCTCGAATATAAGAGGAGATTTTTTTTTTAAAAATCACATCGAAATTATAAGAATAGAGAAAGAGAGAGAGAAAGAGAGAAGCATAATAAACTAAAAAAACTATCGTTTTTTAAGGAAATGTCTCATGTTTCTTTCTGATCTTCTTTTTCTTTTCTTTTTTAACAATACCATTACTAAAATAAGAAATATTTCTTCTTTTTTTTTTTTTTGTATTTCAAACGAATTAATGCAGTATTAGATATTCCCAAATGTTTTTGAACTTCCTTTTCTACCCCAAAAATTATAATTGGTGGCATCACACAAACATTTTTTCTGTAGATTTGTCTCTCGTTTATGATATTAAATGAGGAAAACGAGTAACGAAGACATTTCGTTTTTATTTTTACGCATGCAAGTCACGAGAAATAGTAGAGAGTCCGATGGTTTCAATAAAAAAAAAAGAAATCGAAAAATCAAATCGACTCCTTTTTTTTTCATGTCATTTGAGGACAAGTGATGAGGGAAAGAGCAAGAGAGAGAGAGAGAGAGAGTGTGAGTGAATAGTTATTTTTTTTGATTGTGGTTTTGTTTAATATTCAATAAAAGAACAAAAAAGAAAAGAAAATGAATCAACAATCGATACAATTTTCAAACTCTAATTTTTCAGTCTTTGATGTGTTTAACGAAGAATGCGTGCTAAACGCAACAATAGAGCACGTAGCTCTTCCTCTTCCTTTTATTGTGTCAAATTTATTTGGGATTAATTAAGCAAGTTTTCTCTAAGTATTTCCGATGATTCAAATAATTTCAACTTGCAATGGACAAAAAAAGAGACGAAGAAGAAGAACGAGATAAACGAACGAATTAACATTGTTATTATGAAACATTTAAATAAACTAATCTGTAAGTTTGTTTTAAATTTACTTTATAGAATTAAACGTAAAATATAGAGCAAAAAACCTATACTAGAACAAACATCGGGTATAAACAAAATCTTAAGAAATAGAAATTTAAGAAGTTTGACGTTTTCTTTTTGGTTACACGAAGACAACCCGAATTGCTAGCCTAACCGTAGATAAGAAGACTGTTTCATATCAACCACTTTTTTTTGTACAGCTGTTCTATTGTGTCACTCTTCATAATGATGGTAATGTTTGACACCCAATAATGACTATTGCCAAGATTATGTTGATCTTTACGGACGTAAATGTCTTATCATTAAAGTCAATGTTACTTGAAATGACTATATATTAAAAATCGTAATTTTATATATAGAAACTAATAGACATGATTTTGAACGACAGAATTTTATAATGATTGTTTTGATACTCCTGACGTTATAATATTTTTACTAATAATAGTCAGACAAAGATATAAAGAATCAAATTTATTGTTAAACATCTGTTACATTTGCAAAAAGACAGAGCATTAAATTTGTTATACTAAATATATTGTCAGATAGATAAAACTATTTTCAGTTATTAAGAGAGATTTTTTTTTTTTAATTCTTAAAATCTTTGAAAAAGAAAATTTTAAATTAAATTATCATTAGATTATACAAGAGAATATTTTTTAATTGATCAAAATGATTAAAATTTTGTCTAGTTATACATTCAGATCTAATAGACTATGTTCGATGATATTTATTAATTATCATTTTTTTAATTTTTTTTCTATTTAGCTCGTGATATATTTAATAATTTATTAATAATCATTAAATTAGATCAATTTAATTTAAATCAGTATGACTAAAACTACCGTTAATAATGGATTACAATTCTATTGTTTTTCGAGAATTCGATTACGAGTCAATAAAAAAAATCGAAAAATATCGTCAAGAAAAAGCTGAACGAATAGTTTCTGATAAATTACAACGTCAAATTGAAGAAGAAGAAATGAAAGGTACAAAATATCCCGTAGCAATAGTAAAATCATCACCCTCATCATCAAATATAAACAATGATCTATCAAAAAAACCAAATAAAGAATTAGCTGTAGGTAAAACATTACCACGAACATTACAAACAAAATTTCCAGCTGATCTTATTGGAAAACCTATTGAAGAAATTGATTGGCATTATCGAACAGAATATGTAAATTTTATGTGTATATAATTATAATATTAATAATTTAAATTTTATTTTATTTTAGGTATTTGTTGTTGTCAATCGAAATAAAACAATATTTCGTTTTAGTTCATCAAATGCATTGTTTATATTTTCACCATTTAATAGAATAAGACGAATTGCTATTAGAATATTAACACATTCATTATTTAGTACATTTGTGATATTAACGATTTTAGCTAATTGTCTTCTTATGACACGAAAAAGTGCACCAGAAACATATGAGTAAGTTTTAGAAATTTTTTGTGAAATTAATAATTCATTTGAAGACGATTATAACTATGTTATATTTGCTCGATGTAGGTATATGTTCACAATCATTTATACAATAGAAGCATTAACAAAATGTATTGCCAGAGGTTTTATAATAAAAAAATTTACATTTTTACGTGATCCATGGAATTGGTTGGACTTTATTGTTATAACTCTAGCGTAATTAATTTTGATAAATAAATAATTATCTTCGATAAAATATACCTATTCATTTAGATACATCACTTTTTTCGTCAATTTGGGAAATGTTTCTGTTTTGCGTACATTTCGTGTTTTAAGAGCATTAAAAACTGTTGCAGTTGTTCCAGGTAAGATTTTTGCATATCTAGCTTTCAACATAATCTCTTTTTAATTCATATTTAATGTGAAATAAATATAGGTCTTAAAACAATTGTTGATGCTCTTATACAGTCGCTAATTTGTTTGCGCGATGTGGCAGTTTTATCGAGTTTTATATTATCAATATTTGCCTTGATTGGCTTGCAACTTTATATGGTAATCGATATTATTGAGAAAATAAGTTTTAGTTCATTAAAATACTTTTTTCCTTTATACAGGGAGTTTTAAGACAGAAGTGTGTACCATCAATTGACTATTTTCGAAATAACACAAATTATACACAGGTCACATATGACTGGTATTTGACTGAAATTAATAAGCCAGAACATTGGTTTCAAGAAGAGGAGGAGTTTGTGTTGTGCGGGAACAGCAGTGGAGGCAGGTATGGAGACTTTTCCAACATAAAACAGATATTATTTTCATACAGCGAATACTGTTGATGGAAAGTTAAATATTTTTCTGATTTTCTTCAGCCCAGACATTTTGAATAGAGTTCTCTTCTTTCAAAAAATTACTTTGCCCTTACATTTAGAAAATGTCCGTTGGGATATGTTTGTTGGAAAGATCGTGGAGATAAGTAAGCGGCTTAAATATAAAAAGGACATTTATCAACAATACTTTCATGTTTTAGTCCAAACTTTGGCTATACCAGTTTTGATTCCTATGGCTGGGCTATGCTGAGTTGTTTTAGATTAATGACACAAGATTATTGGGAAAATTTATATCAGTTAGTAAGTCGATTCATGAGAGAATCTTTTCAGGTGATTCAGTACAATTTTCATAGAATAGATTTTTATTGATTATTTTTGATGCTGATCACGAATCTAGTCTTCATTAGTGTCCGCAAAACGTTTCAAAACCATTCTTCAGAGATCGGTTCTCTAGAGACCCACGATACACTGTTCATCTGGCACATTTTAATACAAACAGATTTTACAACACGTCGACAGATCTATGTAAACAAATGTTCAAGTCTAATGAAAATTATTTCAGAGAGTTAAAGAAAGATTCATCGTATTCCTTAGAGAATTTAGTTTTTCAACATTGCTGAACAATGTTCATTAGACCTAAAAACTTTTCTACAGACGTTTTAAGAAATTGTGAAGCCGAAAACAGAAAAATGGATGTAAACCCCCAAAACCCATTATTAGACTCGTACTGTTGTAGAACGTCTCCCGTCTAAGCTAAAAGTCTCTCAGACTTCGAAGACGTCTCATAAGATTCGGAAAATCTTTATCTATAAGATTCTGTTGCGATAGAAGCTGTACCTCTTCTGGTCACTATCTGATAGAAATATTTTTGTATGGGTCGACGTTATTCACGGATACCTGTTACAGGGTTCTAATTAGGAACCTAATAAAGAATATATCTCTTGTGCCTGCCGTAAAGGGTGATCCATAAGTTTTGAACCCTCTCTGTAAATTAAGATTATCTATATGAAATACATATAATAAGATTCAGCTGTTTTTTGCAAAATTTTCCCCATTTAATTCTCTACAAAATGGTATATAGGAGATGATCCTGAGAATTGAGATGCCGTCATAATTGAACCGAAATCAAAATGTTCCAAAACTTTCAATGTTCCAAGAAACAAAAACCCGCGTTTTCTTTATATGCGTTGTTTATATATCTTCCTTACTAATAGAGCTAGAGATATAAAAATTTACAGTAATAATCATCTAGTTGTAAGATATTAAATGTTAAATGTTTGAGCTTTTTTGGATTGACATTAAGAAAGAAAAGCATTTTTTTTCCAGAGGGTCCAAAACTTATTGATCACCTTTGGTTGCGGCGTTTCGATTGTTTTGAGGGAAGTGACATCAGACATTTCGTATATGAATCAAATAGACAAAACATTTCTCTTCAAAATGATACAAGAATGAGCCTGATTCATTCATTTGTGAGTGAGCACCGTTCATTTTACAAACAGCTCTAAAATGCAGATTGAAAAAACTGAAAAAATATTCAAGGGCTTTTGCAAAAGCATTATTGAAAACACGGAAATAACGACAGAAAATTAGCATTATAATAGAGAATTCCATTCGAAAATTAGCATTCGATAGAGAATTCCAAGGGCTACATTTTTGCCTATTCAATGTGGGCACAACGCATAAATTCAAGCTTATACTGACGAAATACATTCTTCGTTTTTGGGGCATTGAAAGGTTTGGGATATTTCGATTTCGGTTCAATTACGATGGCATCTCAACTTTCAGAATCATCTCCTATATACCATTTCGTAGAGAATTAAATGGGGAAACTTTTGCAAAAAACAGCTGAATCTTATTATATGTATTTCATATAGGTAATGTCAATTTAGAGAAAGGGTCTAAAACTTATGGATCACCCTTTATGAAAAGAACGAAGTATAAAAGTCGAAAGAAAAAAACCAAAAGAATGTAGCATTTAACAGACGCCATGTACAAAAAAGAGATGTCTCCTTGTTTGTTAGGTTCTCATTGTTTTTCCCATGTAAAAAATATTTTATCATTAGTAATAGAGAAGGAGTGTGATTACTTATTTTAAAGTCATTCTTTTTCTAGGTATTAACTGCAGCTGGTCGATATCATTTTTTATATTTTGTGGCCGTCATCTTTTTGGGTGCATTTTATTTGGTTAATTTAATTTTGGCTATTGTAGCCAATTCATATCAAGATCAACAAAAAAAAGTTCGAGAAGAGGCAGAAGAAAATGAACGACGAAAAGCTGAAGATGAACGTGTTGAAAGTGAAGCTATAAAACAATCTGGAGTAGGAATTAATGACAATGATATTGATTATGATGATCTTATGTCAAATATTGATAAAAAATCATTTTCAAATCTTTCACAGTCTCGTTTATCGTTTGAATTAGATAGTATTGAATCAACAAACAATACAGTTAAAAAGGTATTATCAAATTCGTCAAAATTGTAATTAAGAATAGACAAAACAACAAGAAAAGTGTTATATTTTTTTAAATACGAGTTTTGCTTGTTAATCTAGACCATGTACAGAGAGACACCGTCGTTTGCCCGCACTGATAATGAGTTACAATGTGGTGATTATCATAGTTTAGTCAATTCAAATCAAAATTATAGTGGTCCAAGTAGCTACAAAAATCCAATGATTACCATTTTTCCATTTGCCGATGAAACAAAACAAAATTCTTCAATCGGAGAAGATTTATATGATCATAATTATCGACGAGAAAGTACTTATACATTATCCAAACTTCCTGTAAAAGGATTGTCTTCGAATAGATCTGATGATCAACATCGATACAACGAATCGAATAAAACGGTGAATATTTTTTTTCTTCAGAATATTCTTTCTAAACCTTTCTATATATTTTTTCAGCTTCGTCGTACTCATTCACGTTTAAAATATACACCAATGGATAATGCTTACAAAGTTTCTATGGAACAATCAGTTTATCGAGTACAGCCAAGTATTGCCGATAGTCATCTTTCAAAAAGTAAGAATTTAAGTAAGATTTTTTTTTCTAAAACTGGGACATTTTTTTATAAAATTGCGAAGGTGAGATCAGATAAGCTAAACAGTTGACAGTGTTCACTGCATTCAATAGAAAATTTACTAGATACGTAGTTTGTGTTAACATTTAGTTTTTGTAGTGATAATTTCTAGCACATAATATTAGTTTTACAAAATATTTCAACACCTTAGTAAAACGCGTCTATCCTATATTTTAGCTGATATTTTCTCTCTCACACAAACATTAGGATTAAAAAAAAGAAATATTATTTTTCACATAAATATTAAACTTTCCCAAAGCGGGAGAACGAATCAGCTAGAAATATCGATTTATCGTAAATCAAATGTTTTTCGTTTTGATAAAAAACGCTGTTAAAAGAAAACAAGTCATTTACTAATGAAAAACTATGTTGATCTTATCGATTGCACGTAACCTGCAAATAATATGCACTTAATGGTAGTAAAATCATTTGCATGTGTTAGATACAAATTCACAACATCTCACACAATTTCTACATGAAATCAGTTATGAGAGATATGAATTTTAAATCGTTTTCAAAATTAAGTAAAAATACTTTATTTTAAAAATAATTTCTTCATCTTCGTCCTCTTCTTTACCTTCCATCACCATATAGGTGTAGATGTGACAGTAGTTTGTGTTAAATTGTACATTATGTATCAATGTTGTCTTTGTCTCTCTCTCTGTTTTCCGTAGAGCAATGTGTATTACACACAATAGACGATGGTGACAAAATAGAATGTCGTCTTTTAATCGCATCACAACCCACCAGCAAACGTAAAACGTTTAACGTCATTTCAGATATTGACGAATCGGCAAATGTTTGCAATCATCCATTAATGAAACTAATTCGAGGTTATTGTTGTGACTGGACATGTACTTGGCCTCTATTAAAAAAAATTCAGGTAAAATTAGAACTAAAAAAAAGAAGAAATATATGTATGTCATCAAAAAATATATGTTGATATTTTAAAAGGCTATAGTTGCATTTTTTATCTTGGATGCATTCGTTGATCTTTTTATAACAATTTGCATTGTATGTAACACACTTTTCATGGCACTTGATCATCCGACACAAAGTGATAAAATGGCAAAAATATTAGCATCAGGAAATTATGTATGTTAACTATTTTTTTTATAAATAAATGAATATTTTCTAATTATTTTCTTTTCTTTAAAGTTTTTCACTGGTGTATTTACAGCTGAAGCTGTTTTAAAAATTATTGCAATGACACCAGGTCGATTTTGTAAAGATGGATGGAACGTATTTGATTTAATTATTGTTACATTAAGTTTAGCCGAATTAGGTCTAGCCAATATAAAAGGTCTTTCTGTGCTTCGATCATTTCGTCTGGTATGTTAAAAATGATAATTTCATTAATAAATGATCATTTATCTCTGTATTTTTAGCTTCGAGTTTTTAAATTGGCCAAATCGTGGCCAACGTTAAATCGTCTAATGGCTATTATTGGAAAAACAATTGGAGCATTAGGTATAAATGTTTGCATTAATAAATGATTATCTTAAAATAATTAAATCTAAATTTAATTTAGGTAATTTGACATTTGTATTAATTATTATTATATTCATATTTGCTGTTATGGGTATGCAACTTTTTGGTCAAAAATATAATGAAAAATATGCATCAGATATGCCTCGATGGAATTTTACTGATTTTTTTCACTCATTTATGATTGTTTTTCGTGTTTTGTGTGGAGAATGGATTGAATCTATGTGGGATTGTATGAGAGCTGCTGATTGGCCATGCATCCCATTTTTTCTGTTAACAATGGTCATTGGAAATCTTGTGGTAAATTTAAACAAAAAATAAGACATCAATTTTATATATAATACAATAGATCATTTTTATTTTAGGTGCTCAATCTTTTTCTTGCATTGTTGTTATCATCATTTGGCTCAAATGTTTTTAAAGAAAAAGAAGATGAAGAAAATAAAATTGGTGAAGCGATTGAACGAATTCAGAGATGTTTTCGTGCTATTGGACGTTTATTTGTTAGATTTTGTTGTGGATGTCGACAACGAACGAAAGTTGTTGAAAGCACAACAGTGGAAACAATTTATATTAATCAAGTAAATAGACTCTAATATCTATTCATATTTTAGAATAAAAATAACTATTTTTCTATTAATAGTCATTAGCTGGTACTAACAATGGTACTACTTCAACTGTCGGTTCATTTCTAATTAACCATCATAATAACGATACAACGGCTAGCAATTTTGAAATAAAATCAAATGGTTTAATAATTACAAATGAATCGGCTTTAGATGAAATTGAAATGGTATCAATGAATAAATTAGAAGCAAATCATAATTTATCTAATATTCAGTCAGATATGCAATTATCACTACCACCACCGCCACTACCAACAACATTTGATGAAATAGGACAACAAAAATTCATTACAGAACCACCAGCATGTTTTCCAGCTTCTGTTTCAAAATATTTTCTATGTTGTAAAAAATATATTCATCCATCTATAAGACGGACATGGAGTAAATTAAGAAGTAAAGCCCATCGATTAGTTGAACATCGATTTTTTGAATGGTTAATTATTGGTACAATTTTAACAAGTAGTACTACATTGGCTCTTGAAGATATTAATACTCGACAACAGCCAACATTCTATCTTATATTAACTATCTTTGATAAAACATTTACATTCATATTTACTGCTGAATTAATTTTAAAATGGTTTGCTTATGGAATTAAAAATTATTTTACAAATGGTTGGAATTGGTTAGATTTTATCATTGTTGTAGTAAGTACTCATTGTTATACATAAATTTGAACAACGATAACACTTACTCTTTTTATTTTCTGCTTATTTGAATGAGAAAAAGAAAATTTTTTTCAATTAAAACAAAAGTTTATTACAGAAACGTTTATTTTTTTTGTAGGTAAGTGTTATTGGTCTCGTTTTTGATTGGTTGGGTGTTGCTGATATTCCCATTTTCAAATCAATGAGAACATTACGCGCATTACGTCCATTAAAAGCGTTATCTCGATTTGAAGGCATTAGAGTATGTTTTATTATCGAAATTATTATTGAAACGTTTTTTTCTATTAATTATTCTATTTTAGGTGGTGGTTAATGCACTAATTGGAGCCATTCCCTCTATTTTTAATGTACTTCTGGTTTGTCTTGTTTTCTGGCTTATATTTAGTATAATGGGTGTACAACTATTTGGTGGTAAATTTTATAAATGTGTTTATAATGATACACATGATCGCGTTAATCTAACCGAAAATGTATCGAATAAAACTGATTGTGCTCGTAAAAAGTTTACATGGGAAAATTCAAGAGTTAATTTTGATAATGTTATTCAAGGTTATTTAGCTCTATTACAAGTGGCCACGTTTAAAGGATGGATTGAAATTATGGCTGATGCTGCTGATGCTAAAGAAGTATAAATAATTATTTAGAATATTATAGAATGATTATTCAATAGATAATTTATATTGCCTCATGTTTTAGATAGATATTCAACCTGAAAGTGAATCAAATATTTATTCATTACTCTATTTTGTTTTATTTATTATATTTGGTTCATTTTTTACATTAAATTTATTTATTGGTGTTGTTATTGATAATTTTAATCAACAAAAAAGAAAAGTAAGTATTTTATTATATAGAATAAATATCAAAATTGATATCGTTTTGTGTATGATTTACTGTTTTCAGTTAGGTAGTGGTGGTTCAATCGAAATGTTTATGACAGAAGAACAAAAAAAATATTATAATGCAATGAAAAAAATGGGCAATAAAAAACCGACAAAAGCATTACCAAGACCACGTGTAACTACAACTATATAGTGTATCCTGTATGTTTTTTGAATAACTATTGATAGAAAAATATTTGAAGAGTTGCCATCTTGTCATCAAGATACATTAGTATAACTAATACACATACACCCAATACTATAGAAACTTCATAACTCATTAGAATCTATGCAAATTATTGTAAATTAAATTCCAGAACATGAGTCTAAATTCATGAAAAATCATTGATAGATAAGTTGGTTTTTTCAAAGTTCCATACGATATAGCACTTTTTAAATAGTAATCTGAACTTCGATCAAAGTGTCTCAACTCTTCTCTATACGATATCTAATTCTATAAGTGTCTATTGTTTTCTTTTCAAACGTTATTCAAAAAAAAGTGTAGAGTCTACTATTATTTAAAATAAATGGTAGTAGATATTCAATACAATTGTTTCAAATTTTCTTTACTTTATAGTTTGCAGTAGCAAGATTTTTTTTTGATTTAACAACCAATCAAAAATTTGATATATTTATAATGATATGTATATTTCTCAATATGATTTGTATGTGTGTTGAACATCATAAACAAACAAAATTAGTAGAAAGTACCTTGGGATATATTAATAATTTTTTTGTAGCCGTGTATGTTAAACTGTTATCTATCTAAGATAATAATATTCGGTGATAATTATATCATTTTTTAATTTAGATTTACTGCTGAATGTGTTATGAAATTATTGGCATTACATCACAATTATTTTACTATACCATGGAATGTTTTTGATTTTATCATTGTTATTGCATCAATTGTCGGTATGTAATTTGTGAGAATATTATCGTAAGACTAATGTTAGTAAGAGTAAAGTATGTTGGTTCACTTGGTCATAATCACTTTGTCATACAACGATTATTTACACTTTTCACGCACATTAACCTTTCAATTACACTGAACACTTTATTGATAGAATACCTTCAAAAAACAAAAAACAAAAGGTTTAAATCTCATCTTATTTAATTGTCATCCATGATTTTTCTATTATAGCTGGTACTTTAGAGAAAGGTCTGAAAAATATATCCTGTTTGCTTCTTTTTTTTTTGCACAATAATAATAATTTTATACTAAATACACTTAGATTTTATGTTGTTGTTGCTTTCATATTGCTAAATTATATTGAATTATAATACATCAAAATTGTTTTTTTTTTTGCTCCGTACTATATACCGCTAAAATTCAGGAATGATTGCATTTCTTCTTTTCTTTTTCTTATTTAAGTTATATTATTTATAAGTTAATTCAGAGTTTTGATGCTTTGAAATGCAAGTATGTGATTGTTGTCAGATTTATACAGACTCTAAAATACATATTTTTATCGTCTCGATAATAATCAAATTATTCGCCACACCGTAGTCATAAATGGAACAATTATTCTTATTTTTGCCATTAGCTTAATGCTCATAAAAGATCTTCAATTTAACGAATATTTTTCATAATTAGTGAAATTAATTAATATAGTTTTTTTTAGCAAATTCAAAATAAAAAACATTTTTTTTATTACTTTTTTTCTAGGACAAGCTTTAGGAGAAATAATGGCAAATTATTTTGTTAATCCAACATTGTTACGTGTGGTGCGTGTTGCACGTGTGGGAAGAGTTTTAAGATTGGTTAAAGGTATGACATTTTATTCTTTTATATTTAGAATATACTAAAACCGTTCAGAGATTTCGAAAAAAATTAATATAAAAACGAGTTAATCAAGTTTTAATTCCATTATTATTCGAAGTAGTAGTTTTGATTATCAATATACATTTGAATTCTTTCAAGCTATTCATAAAATTTCTTTTTTTTTAAAATCATTCTGTAGTCATTGCATTTATAATCTTTATTAACGACATGTTCGAAGTTGTTTTGTTTGACGAGATCAAACAACCAAAAATCAAATGATGCGAGATTTTAAAACAATTATATGATAGATTCTGATTCAAGAGGTAATGATAAAAACATCATTACGAATATGCGATCGGATGTTATCGTGATGAAGTTTGATACGGTGATGATCAGATGATGTTCTTTACTTGTTGATCTTGTTCTGACTCTTGGTTGTAAAACAATTTTTAATACAATACTGATGATGAATAATTTGTCCTCTTCCTACATGAGAAATTAGAACTATCCCCCTGGAACAAAAATAGTTTCAGTCGTGTTTTGGAATTTATTATGAATATACACATATATTTTAGAAAAATAATTATATATTCTGGTAGAGTTTGAAATTCTCTATTAGTCTCTGCTTTCCCAGCGTGGATTCGAAATTAGTTGCTAAAAAGATTTGTAACGGGTGCAATTTCTTCAGTATTTTCTATTTTCCTCATGTTACTTTAGGACTCAAAGGTTAATATTTATCCTAAGAAGATACGCCATGAAATACTCTATAAAACCATATATAAACTGTAACTTCAGAACTTCAATCATGAAAACTACGCAAATTATATGAAAGATGATAAAAATGAAAACTTTGAAAATCTGATCTTTTTTTCGATTTGAACATTTTTCTTCTGTTATTATTTCCGTGAAAAAGTGTAGCAAAAACGAGAATTCAGTTCGTTTTATACTTTTGAATATGCTCTTTCTCATGATCTGTAAAAATATCTTTCAGAATAGATGGTGTTGTTGAGAACGAAGTTTCAAAAATACGTCAGAAAGGGACAACTCCCGTGTCCAACAATGTGCCGAAGCAAGAAACGGAAAATATGATCGAAATTTTGATTTTATAGTTAGGTAGAGAAGAGTTTTCGAACAAAACAAACCTAATCGAAAAATCTTTTGTTTTGATAGAGTTATGGGACTTCTACTAAAAGCATCACTATACATAGGATTTAAAAAATTATTGAAAAACTGTGTGACAACCGACAGAAAAATTATTATTCCTCCCTGGGTTTTTTCAAGCATAGCTAAAAGATAGAGCGAAATCGGGGCTACAAAATGACTAATTCAGTTTTTCTTAATTTCAAAATGTGAACACATGAAATCGTTTTTGATTTTACAAAGCTTTCATTTTTTATCGTCTTTCGTCTAATTTGCGTAGTTTTCTTGATTGAACTTCTGAAGTTAAAGCTTGTATATGGTTTTATAGAGTATTTATTTCATGCAAGGGAAATAGCAGACTGAAATCAGCCCAAAATAAGTCGAAAATCACCTAAAATCAATTGATTTCCACTGATTCTCAATGATTCTCTGTGATTTTCAATGACTTTCAGTCATTTCCGGCGACTTTTCATTTGGTGAGAATCGATGAAAATCGCAAAATCAGCTGTTTCCCCCTTGATTTCATGGCACATCTTCTTAGGATAAACATTAACCTTTGAGTCCTAAAGTAACATGAGGAAAATAGAAAATACTGAAGAAATTGCACCCGTTACAAATCTTTTTAGCAACTAATTTCGAATCCACGCTGGGAAAGCAGAGACTAATAGAGAATTTCAAACTCTACCAGAATATATAATTATTTTTCTAAAATATATGTGTATATTCATAATAAATTCCAAAACACGACTGAAACTATTTTTGTTCCGGGGGCGATAGATCATTTATTTTAAAAACGTACAAAATAATATTTTGAGGGAGTGAGAAGGCAAGTTTGTTCCTTGAAACTACAGTAGGTACTTGCTGTTCAGCTGACGTTTAATGACTTTCGGTCAATTTGTTTATGATAAATCCAAGACTGTTCTCCTGTTACCACATCACAAAATCGACACGTTCGTTGATTAAATTTTGCTAAATTTTCTTTATATACTCGTACTGAGCATCAATCAACTGGTGGAGTATCCAACGAACTGTAATTTTTCTTAGATTAATATAATCATTGACAATACTGCTATGACTAATACTAATTTCTGCTTCTATTTCATCAAATGTAATATGATCATCAGCATTCAAGCAAAAGATAGTCTATCACCACCTCTGGTACGCACTATAGTGTAGGAACGAAAATTTTTCTCACTCGTATGAAACAGACTCTATACACTTTTCATCGAAATTTTTCAAATAATGATGTCGATTCGAAAACAATAACACATTGAAGAAATACAGAGTACGACGTGCACCACAAGTATAAGTGGATAAAAAAAGTCTCATAACGTCTACTACGCAATACAATCATGTTGATCTTTGAACTTTCAGTATGCGTTAAATATCACTTAAAATATAATTTTAATCTATAATTATTAATTTATCTAGGTGCAAAAGGTATCCGTACATTACTGTTTGCATTAGCCGTTAGTATGCCAGCATTATTCAATATTGGCTTATTATTATTTTTGGTTATGTTTATTTATTCAATATTTGGAATGTCATTTTTCGCTTATGTAAGAAAATCAGCAGGCATTACTGATCTATTTAATTTTGAAACATTTCCAAATTCAATGATAATTTTATTTCAAATGTGTACAAGTGCTGGATGGTCGGGTATGCTTTAATTTTCAATAATTGTTTCCATAAAATAAAATATGAAATTATTTATTATTGTATCTCTAGGTGTATTGAAAGGATTAACAAACGATAAAGCACCGGATTGTGATATTCATATGCCATCACCATCCCATCGTGGAGATTGTGGCAATATGGCGGTTGCAATTCCATTTCTTGTTTCATATTTAATAATTAGTTTCTTAGTTGTTGTAAGTCAATAAGTAAACAATTTATCTTTTGTTTTGTTAAAATTTTTTACTGTTAAATTCTAGGTTAATATGTATATAGCTGTGATATTAGAAAATTTTAGTCAAGCTCAAGAAGATGTTCAACAAGGTAAGAATTATCTTATTTACGTATATATTTCTCATCATTCTATATGTAAAATGTTTTCTTTTTTCTTAATGCAAAACTCAGGTCTTACAGACGATGATTATGACATGTACTATGAAAAATGGCAAAAATTAGATCCCGTAGGCACTCAATTTATACGCTATGATCAATTGTCCGATTTTGTTGATCAATTAGAAGAACCATTACGTATACCAAAACCAAATCATTTATTATTGGTAGCTATGGATCTACCAATATGTGAAAATGATCGCGTTCATTGTGTCGATATTCTCGATGCATTAACAAAAAACTTTCTCGGTACATTAGATACAAACAGTAGTTCAGGACCGACACCTATTGACATTAAAAAAGATCGTCCAAAAGATTATAATCCATTGACAACAACGTTCAAACGTCAACGAGAACAATATTGTTCTCGATTAGGTATACGCGCATTTCGTCGTAACGTTGAAAAAAAACGTCTCGAACGTGCACTACGTGGACCAATTTTAGAACGTGCAACAATCGATGAGTTATTACTTGATCCTGATTCTTCACCATCAATGACACTAACGCCTCCAATATTGTCAACTAATAATCATCCATTTATTTGTTTTGATGAAAATCCACAGCAGACCATGAAAATGATCGATGAAAATCAACAGCAACAACAACAACAACCAAACGATAATAATCAAAATCAAAATCGAACATCATCGATATGTTCATCTATTATATCGTCTACATCATCATTTACGTTTAGAACGCGTTCGTTAGATAATAAAAAGGATCCGCTATGAAAAAAATCTTTTAATCACTTATTCTTCTATATCTGTTTATCATGTTGTTTTTTTTCATTCTTGAAACAATGACTCTTGCATTTTAAGACATCATTAGTGGCACCATAATTTTTACCAAATTCACATTTGTAGTCAACAATTCTGATAGAAATTTTATTTTCTCTTTTAAAATTCTCTGTTATTCACTTATTCTCAAAAATGATTACGTCTAATGTAGTAGACACAGTGAGTAACCAACAATCGTTGTTTAATTATATTCGCCCAAGAAGAAAAACAAAAATCAATAATGTAGTTGCTCATACAACAGACATTTCTTACTGTTTTTTTGTGTGTGATCTGATGATTCATGTAGTGGTGTGTATGTGTTTTATGAGTTTGTCCTCAATCGTTAATTATCTTCAATGTAGAGTTATCGCGTATATCAACTATAAATTTGACTTTAAATTTTGTTTTTCAACATAACCGTTATAGTTTCACCTTACCCTCGTCATTAAATAGTACATGCAAATACTTCATCATCATCATCAAAAGCCGATGGATATAAAATATCAGTTACTTTAATCTTACCTTCTCAAGTCTCTATCTGATGAACAGAGAGAGAGAAGAGAGAGAACAAAAATAAATGAGTTAATATATTGCCCGTTAAATACTCAATTGCATGTTGGTATTTCTATACTCATTTCAAGTTATAGAAAGTCATGGCATTGATCAATACTACTAGTAAGTATCAATGATCCGATTGTTGATTAGACTCTATTTATCAACTATATCTCTGTCATAGATCGTTTTAGGTTTTATTTTTTCATCTTAACATATAAAAATGAAAAAACGAAAAAAAACAGTTAACATTTTTAAAGAGTTGTTGATGATGACAATTTTGTTTTTTATTGTTAGTTGATTTTCAAATCATATCTAACCAATGTACACCCATGATTCTAATCTTCATGAAAATGAGTTGGTTGAATGTTAATGAGTTCTTTTTTACACTCATTTTAATAAGAGAGAAAAATGAAAGTATCTTCACAAAATCGATAGCAAGAAGAAAAATGATTGTTGTCATTGTGAAAAGATAAATAGAGATCATAGTGAGAGACTGATATTCAAATATAAATTTCGATTTCTTTTCTAATCGTGTCTTTTTTTATTTTGTTTTTGACTACATTACTTTCAATTTCACATTATTCAAAAATGAAAACAAAACGAAAATAGATGTTTTCTTTTTCTTACTAACAAATTTCGTCTTATTATTTCGATCTTAAATTATTTTCACATGTAAATTGTATGAAATTAACAGATCTTTTTATTTTTTTCTAAAAATAAAAAATATTATTAAGATTCGGTAAGTTTTTTTGTTCAAAGACTCCTTTTTTTCGTTTACAATGTTAAACATAAATCTATAAAAATTTCTCTTATAAACGTGTGAATGTATTCAGTGTTATATCCTTTTCTCGAACTTCAAAAGTAGAAAGTTGACAAATTCAAATTGACAATGATGAGTTCTAACGAACATTTATTTAAAACTCGAGATCGAGTGAGAATTGCGGAAATAACAATCACACAAATGATTGACAGACACAGCAAAACACAAGAAATTTTAAATTTAGACAATTTAATTAACTATGACTTTGAAGTGATTTACAAGGATGATTTTTGTCCGTGTATATGTATAGATATATGTACATTTCAAATAAAAATAAAAGTGAAAATTTACTTCACTCAATCTAACAGATTTTCAAAATGAAAAAGAGAAAAAAGAAAATCAAACGTGTTAAGCTGTATGTGTTGATAGATGCTCATATTACATAGAAAAATAAAAGAAGATCGAAACCAAACATATACGGATGTTTATTATTCGAAATTATGGAGAAACGATTTATTACTTTGTTCGAAAGTTCTTTGAGTTGTCTAGATCCAAACTGAGTGAGAATAATTCACTGAAAATACAAAAGAATATTATCGTCAACATGCCTTTTATTCTCAAATTGTATAATATCTTTTTAGTTTTATTTAAGCAAAAATTTCATGAGATAAGTAATGTAGAAAATAGAGTACAATGAATGTTAAGATAATAATAGTATAAAATCAATTTTTGTTCTGTTCGTAATTGAAACGAATCACGAAACAATAGATCTCGCTCTTCTTTGTGTTTTTTTTTTGTTTTGGTCTACAAGTTAAAATTATAGTCTAATATCTTTTCGTTTTAATTAATCAAATTGTTTAATTTTTGCGAGTGTCTATTACAAATGATATGCAATAAATCTCTGTGGGTGATTCAATCTAATCAGTTTTTATTTCATCTATGATTATTATTCTCTGTCTTTTAACTTCTTAAAAAGAACATAAAGCTGTTAATGAGTATTAGCCTTGATGTTTCGTTTATTCTTTTCTTTTCTCATCATTTTTTGACATCTTTTCATGTGATATACACATACATATCGCACAAATCCAATTCTAAATAAAGAGAATTATCCTTTTTCACACTTGTTCACACATCTTCTCTTTTATTTTATTCGATATGATTTAAATTTTTCTTCTATCATTAAGATATTTTACCCCATAGTGACGATTAAAATCGGAAAAAAAGAAAATTTCCCGTAAGATATGTGCACATTATGAAAATCCTATCATTTATTCTTAACGAGATGACTTTGATCTTCTTCCATTTATTCCGCTGCATAAATATCTTGTGAATACACAGTGGGAAATGCCGTTCATCATCACAATCACAGACTGATAGTAATGGTAGTGTATAGACACATACACTGTCAATTAAAAAACCATTCAATATATAAAATTTTGTTCGAATAAGAAATGAAAAATAATATCATCATTACAAATAATTTTCACAAAATCTTTCATTATAAAAATATTTATTGTTTCATTTAGATTTTCCGCTATCTAACAATCGAAAAATTGTGCTACATTTCAATTATACCATAGTACACCATATTTTTTTCTCTAATAAAAACGTTGTTTTTTTCATTATTTTAATCAAAAATCTTTATATATAACAGACGAAAAATAAATTTTAACGTTAAAAAATAAATTTAAAATATCTACATCTATATATTAAATGTGATAACTATGAGAAAAAGAATAACGAGGCATAAAATGAGTAGTCTCAAGTATTGTCAATCAATAACAATCGACTAGTGTATATATATTTTGTGTGAGAATATAAAATGAGAAAAAAAAGAAATATATAGTCATAAAATTCTTATGTAAAATGATAATTTTTCTACATATTAGATACGTGCAAAAAATTTCTAAATGAACTTTAACTAAATGAGTTCATTTAATTTCTATTGCACGTGATATAGAAATAAAACAAACATCAGTACCAGTAAGTGAGTTTCAAGTTTCATAGCGTACACGTGAATAAAATTTGAATTTTTTTTTCATTTTTATGCTATATTTATCATTCGGATTCAATAATTTTGTAAATATATGCTGATATTAGTAAGAAAATCGCATGAAAATCTCATTTTTTCTTCTTTTTTTTTAAATTAATATACAAATGTATGCTAAATCCCGCCAGTGATTAACATCAAGTCGTATTTGTATAAAGATGTTATCATTGAAGTTTACGTTCTATGTATTCAAAAGATATTTTTTTTCCATTGTCAAGTGTCTGTATTTATTTATGCACAGCTCAATTTTCCTTCTTGTTAAGATCCTTTCCGAATTAGTTCAGGTAAATTGAACCGGATTGAAAGAAGAAGAAATTCCTATTGATCATCACACACACTTATACCTATTATTTTGTTACGGTACCTAAATGTAAATGAGAGAGAAAGAGAGATAATTAAAAATGGCTTGAAATATTGATGTGATTATCGGCTTTACCTCTCTCTTTTCTTCTCTTTTCCTTTAGTCTATGTTTACAAATAAAATAAAATAGAGTCGTTTTTTCAACTAAATTTAGTATTGAAGAGTTGAACGATACGTGAGTGAAATTTTCTTCTATAAATGTAAAAATATTTTAGTGATTCAAAAAATTATTATTATTTCATAAACAGATTTCGTTTTGAATTCTGTCGATCGAGGTTCATCTTTCATAGAGATACAATGTTGACGATTTTGATCTTATTTGTTTAGAAAAGTGATAATGATAATTACAAAAAATAGAAGGCAAATGTTATTATTATTATTTTTTCTTCAAGATTTTAATCTAATTATTCATTTTCTTCAATCTACCATAATATAGTATCTAATTAAAAACAAATTACTCTACATCAATGTTTCCATTTCTTGCTATAATTTGAAAAGAAAATATTTTCACAACTTTTGTTAATTGTTCTTCTTTTACAATGATGACAATACTCTAGTATACTAAGAAAGAAGAGAAAAAAAGTAATTTTAATTACAACGGATATAGAACTATCTACTATACCACCCGTCGTAGACCTAAATCACAATATTTTTATAAATACCAGATGTATAGTCACTATAATAAATAAAATACTGTACTAATGAACGATAGGACATAGAATCAAAGGTACATGTAAAAGAGAGAGAGAGAGAGAGAGAGAGAGAGAGAGAGTTTTTAAACCTTTAAGAAATATCAGTGGGAATAATTCAAAACATCACTGTCTTTGTATTCTATATGTGTAGAGTGAATGACGTAAGAAAATATAAATGTATAAACATGAATTCATAGTGTGAAACAAACATGTAGTTAGATAGATGTTTAAAAGATCGTCTTTCTCCACAGATTATTTAGTTTTTATAGAAAGCTACGATTTGACGATTTGAAAAGATAAATATAAAATATAACTAAACAGTTTTCAAACGTTCATAAATATGACAGTAGATTATTCGGACAGGTGTTATTGTTACCTAAAGTATTTGTAAACTATGCGTAGAATGTTTTTAAAGTTTGTTCATTTTCGATTAGTTTTCTACAGGTGTTATCTGATATAAGATAACAGTGTTTTTGCTTCATCTTCAACCTCTCTCTCTTTTGCGCGCACTCGCTCTCTCTCTCTCTCTCTCTCTCAATATGCCGACAACAAGGTGTTTGTTCGAAAGATAAATACTAGATCTATCTGTTTGTGTTTGTATAAAACAATTGATAAAATTTAATACGCATTCATTTTTCTTCTTTTTTTTTTCTATTTTATATAGTACTATATTAGAAAAAAGAATGCAGTTTTGGTCACATGTCAATCAGCAAGATATATCTAAAAATTGAAAAAAACATGTCTATACAATATAAAAACTTATTGTTTCAAAATAATCCTAAGCTATCCTTGACTGTTGACCAACGTTTTTCTGTCTCTGATGACAAGAGATCACTCGCCTATATAAATCAACATTTCTAATCATGATAAATAGAATAAAAGAAAAAAAAAAGAAAGGTGAAATGAATGTCTTTCATTTGAAAGATGACGTTAATATTTCCTCTGTACATTCTCATCTGCAAATGATGTGCATGGTGCATAGAAAGATAATACTTATAATTGCTACCTAGTAAAAGATGATGAAATCACTATACTTCACTATATTAGATAGTCCAGACAATTTCCATATAGTTAAAAAAATGACTTTTCATCTCCATTGTGTCCAACTTTTTTTTGGCTCATTTTTCTCTAGAGAATATATAACTTTTATAATCTCATCCATTAGTATGAAACATATAATTACTTATATATACCTAGACACTTATCATTTATGATTGAGAAAAAGTTATAAATTCTACACAGTTTTTTTTGGAAAAATATATTAAAATTTCTATTTTCAAATATGATAAAATTTACACATTATTTTTAGTGAAAAAAACGTTTTTTTCCATCCCCATGATCATTGTTCATTAACAGGTGTATAGATATATGTATATATATGTTCTAGAGAGAACGATATCATTTTTAATTGTTCTACGTCATGAACATTAGAAATGAACGGTTACCAAGTTCATCATCGACTGACTCATAGAGATTTTTTTTTTTATTTGTACTCGTGTGAAATTTACGTTGTTATTCACATAGATCTAATTGATCGTGTTAAAAGAACTATAGTATAGCGTGCAAGAACAGCTGAAATCATCAGTTGTAGAATTCATAAAATTAAGTATAGATGTATATGTGTCATTAACAACGTTTAATGAAACTCATTCAAATTTCAAATCTGATAAAGTGAATATTAGAGATCATGCAGAGATGATAATTTTCTTCTTTTTTTTTTTTGTTGTTATGTGTGAGTGTGTTGAGAGAGAAAGGTCTTAAAAATACACCGTTCATAGGTACAAAAGATAAAACAGTTCATTCGTTTATATATTCGAAATAATTATCAAGTTCCATGTTCAACAACAATAAAAAAAAAAAAGAAAAAAAAAGTAAAAAGAGAAGAAAATATGAAATTTGATGTTTTGTTTTTTTAAAGTTCTTTTTAATGTATCTCTATTGATTGAATGAGAAAGGAAGCCCCAGTTTCAAGATAAATTCCAGACTTATTTTGAACAATTATTCTACAAAATTTTCAAGTGAATCTGTATCGTTTAATTGTTCTACGATGACCTTCGCCATATCCACATAATTATGATTATTATCATAACACTTCTAGAACTAAAACTATGTCTTGATTAGAGAAAGAATCGACAGAAGAAAAAAAAAAAGAAGAAAAATAGAAGATCATCTATATATGTATGAAAAGAGAAATAGGATAACGAATCAGAAATAATACGAGAGAAGGGAGAAAAAGAATTTCTTTTCTTTTTTTATTCTTCTTTTTTATTGTTTTCTCTCCAGTTCAATCTATCTATTATAGACAACATTATTTTCTTTCTAATAGTCTATTTCCATTATTATTACGCTCATTTTTTCAATCGACTGTATATACCCAACAGAAACTCTGAACAAACGAGATAGATAAAAATATCGGTCATTTAAGGTGAGACATTATTTATATGTTCAAAAAAAAATATGAACATTTTTCCTTTTTTATATGTTTAGATTTTTAAGATAATATTCAAATTTCTTTCATATTAGATATTCTACAATAGATTTATATATTTTTCTTTGTTTTAGATTTTATCATGATGATTATCCATTTTTTAATATATTCAATAATGACATTTTCATTTATATTTACAAATACTATTAATGATGTATTATTACGTGAAGAATTACCTATTGGTTCAATTGTTTATGATTTAAAAAAATTATCTCAACAACGAAATCAACCATCAACATATCAATTACTTGAATCATCATCTTTATTTACATTTAATAGTACAACAAATTTAATTACGGTTGCTAAACGTATTGATCGTGATACACTATGTCCAAATGATGAAAATTGTAATTCTTGTATATTTAAAATTAAACTTTATGATATGATGACACATTCAATTATTTTATTAAATATTATTATTGAAGATGTTAATGATAATGCACCAATTTTTAGTTCAAATTTATATTCAATACAAATAACGGAAAATAATATGCCAGGCATTAAAATTCGTCTAAGTAAAGCAGATGATATTGATTGTTCACAATTGAATGGTGTTCAATTTTATGAATTACAATATGTTAAAAATGGAAACCTAATAAAATCATCAATTAGTATTCATCATAAAGAAGCCAAAAATGGTGTGGGTATTGATCATAGCTTTTATCTTCTCTATGATTCATTTGAACTGTATCTTGTTGTTAATATGAGTCTTGATCGTGAATTACAAAGTGAATATAAATTTACAATAACAGCCAATGATAATTTACATTCAACAACGACAAATTTAACACTCATTGTTCTTGATGTTAATGATCATAATGCACGGTAAGAATTGTTTATCTATAATATTATGAAGAAATTTATAAATATATTTTTTTTCTTTTGTAGATTTTCTCAATCAATCTATTCTGTTAATGTATCGGAAACAACACCATCTGAAACAATTTTATTAAAATTAAATGCATTCGATTCTGATGAAGGTGCAAATGGTCGATTACATTATTCAATAATAAATGTTGATGGAATAAAAATTGTTCCTAATTCAGATCAATCATTTTTAATACCATTTCATTTGGATTCAAAAACTGGTGAACTTCGATTAGTTACAACATCTACTCATAATCTTAATTATGAAATGAAAAAAGTTTATAAATTAACTGTATCAGCAACCGATGGTGGTATAGGAGCAATTCCTGCTTTAGCCACTGTTTATGTTCATATTGTAAATGAAAATGATAATTTACCAGTAATTACTTTAACATTTGGTTCAAATAAAGCTGAACATAATTTAAGTGAAGTATATATTAGTGAAAATCAACCAAATTCAACATTTATTGCATATGTAACAATTGGCTATCGGGATTTGACAACAACAAATAATAATCTCAAATGGGAAGTTTTATCATCCGATTTAAAATCAAATTCTTTACCAGGATTTTTTGTTCAAAAACTTACATCAAATACATTTACTTTATTAACTGATCATTCGTATGATCGAGAAAATCAAACATTTTATTCTGTTGTTATACGTGTAAAAGAAGAATTAACTATTGTCGAAAAACATTTTCGAATTATAGTTACTGATTTAAATGATAATCCGCCAATATTTAATTCAAGTATATTTGATATTGATCTAGATGAATATCCTTTATCAATGTCAAAACTTATTTTTACATTACGTGCTACAGATGCGGATATTGGAGATAATGGAAAAGTGAGTTATATGAAAAAGAGTCTTTCATGGCCATATTGGATAAATTTAATCGATAATAATACGGGTATAGCTTATTTAACAATTAATTGTTCACAAATCGGAAATAATTCATCATCGGATGATGGATGGTTTCATTTATCAAATGGTGAAATATGGTTAGAAATTGAAGCATATGATCATGGTAAACCTCAACTATCATCTACAGCTAAAATACGTTTATTTCGTTCAAGTATCATAGCTATATTAGATAAAACAAATGAAGAATTTAATAGTATTAGTACAAATATATTACATCGACGATCATCACAATTATTAAATTGGTTTAAAAATGAATATGTTATTATAGCATTAGCCGTTACTCTAGCTATTCTATTGTTATCTATTACGTTTTTTGTCTGCTGTTGTATACGTATTAAACATAGTAGACATAATAATAGTACTGGTACAATAAATAAAAGTGACCGATGGAAAAAAAAGTCAACATCTTTAATAACAACAATTGTGAGAGATGATAATAATCATAATAAAAAAATTATACAATCATCATCGTCATCAAATAATGATGAACATAGTTCATCAGGTAGTTTATGTTCAGAAAAATCGGATAATGTAACAGTTGAAACAGCAGCCAGTTGTAATATGGTATGTAGTCTTTAAATATTATCTCATATTATTAAAAATTATTTTATTTTTATTTCTGTTTTAGGATATGTATTTATTTTCTCCATCTCGAAAACCTGGTAATATTGAAAAATCAACAATTCATGAACGATACAATGAATCATCAACAAATGCCAATGTGACAAATTATCAGTTTTGTTTTGTTAATACTTTACCAACATCTGATATTTATCAATCATCTAACAATAAAATATTACATCATCCATTACCATCATCCACATTATCAAGTGAAAGTTTAAGTAATAAATTATTTAGTTCTATTCAGCAAGATTTATCAGTATTGACAGAAAATTTTCGTTCATCACCATCATTATCAAGAGAGATTATAAAACAAAATAATACTATACATAATCAAGAATTAGGAACAGTAAGAGATGAAATTGACGGTTTATTTGTAAAACGAGGTACCTATGTATAATATTAATTATACCTTCTATCCTATAAAAAAATATCTATTTATCATAGTCTTATAAGCCAAAAGCGTATCTGTTTTCTTGTCAGTTGATCAAACTTTTCTCACTATCGAATATAAAAGTAAAGTTTTGCTTATCAATTATGTTATTATATGTGTTGTGACATAATTATTTGTTCGTTGTCAGATTATTATATATTTTATTATTTCTTTTGTTGAACTTTTTTCTTGTACTTGTTTTTTGTTTTCTCCCTGTCTTAAATTACATGTAATTTGTTCATATTTACAAATTTCTCTACTAGAATTTGGTTGATTTTCACTAATATATACTTCACTTAAATTATGTTCAGCTTTATTTGAACCAAATGTTAAAGTAATTACTGGTAAATTATCATTTTCATTTACAATATGAACAT